GAACAAGGTCCAAGTAGAGCTTCAACGTGCAACAAGAAATGGGAGTGAGACAAAACATTTTTTTGAGCATGCAATGTATTGAAAACAACACTTAAACTGAAACAGGGTGTTTTACAGCTGATCAGAAGTTTAGGACCACATGTCCTTAAAAGGCAAAATCTGTGCAAAAAAATTTCATTTTCTCTCAGGTGGTCACACTGTCCTGATGTTCTGATGGCAAAGGCAAATAAACGTTTCCTTTTTGAACATGGTCGGGTTGTTGAACCACATAAGCAGGGTCTCTCACAGCATGCTGTCACTGCTGAGGTGGGATTCGGTAAGACAGCCATTTGGAATTTCTTAAATGATCCCGAGGGTTATGGAACAAAAAAGTCAAGGAAAACCCCCCAAAATTTTTACCAGCACTGAGCTGGAGGATCCAATTGGCTGTCTGTCAAGACACTGGACAATCCTCGCCCCAAATTAAGGACGTTAGTGGTGCTGACTGCAGCCTAATAACTATCAGACGGCATCTGAGACTGAAGGGCTTCAAAAACAAAAAACGTCTTCAAAGGCCTCGTCTCCTTAACGCCACAGAACTGACTGTTTGGACTTTGCAAGAGAGCACCAAACATGGGACATTGAAAGGTGGAAGAAAGGTTTTTTGTTTGTTTTTTTCCTCATGAGAAAAGTAACCTGAATGGTCCTGACAGTTTCCAACGTTACTGGCATGACAAGCAGATCCCACCTGAGATGTTTTCTATGCGCCACAGTGGAGGGGGCGCCATAATGGTCTGGGGTGCTTTTTCCTTCAGTGGAACAATGAAGGGACGTCATACGGCCACTGGCTATGTCCAGATGTTGCAGAGAGCATCCCTCATGTCTGAGAGCCCTCGTCTGAGTGGTAACGACTGGGTTTTTTTTAACAGGACAACGCTACAGTACACAGTGACTACAGGAGGAGGGACTTCTTCTTCTTCTTCTTCCAGGAGAATAACATCGCTCTTTTGGACCATCATGTTTGTTCTCCTGATCTAAATCCAATTGAGAACCTTTGGGGATGGATGGCAAGGGTAGTTAAAAAAATGGACAACAGTTCCAGACAGTCTTCACAACTTGGAGAAATGTTCCCACTCGCTTCTTTGAAGCGCTTGCATTAAGCATGCCGCAACAAATTTTTGAAGTGATCAACAAAAACGGTGGAGCTACTCATTACTGAGTTCATGGTTGGAACTTTGATTTCTGCTTTGAAGGGTTTATGGGTTTTTTGGAGGTGTGGTCCTAAACTTCTGATCAGCTGTAAAACAGCCTGTTTCAGTTTAAGTGTTGTTTTCAATACATTGCATGCTCAAAAAGTGTTTTGTCTCACTCCCATTTCTTCTTGTTGCATGCTGAAGCTCTACTTGGAACCTTGTTAAGATCCAACCATGCAAAATATGATTTGTTTGCCATTTTTCAGGTGGTCTAAAACTTTTGATCAGGACTGTATATCGGATGAAGGGTTTATTGTAGCAGGAGTGGCAAAATCTACAGTTTGGTGCATCCCGAGAAAGAAAGAAAGCACTAATGAACTCAGAAATACAAATAGACCTGGACGCCCACCAAGGACAGCAGTGGTGGATGATCGCAGAATCATTTCCACAGTAAAGAGACAAACCTCATCACGACAGCGGTGTGGTGTCAATGTGTTCAAGACTTCAGGCTGTCATTACCAGCAGAGGGATTTCAACCAAGTATTAAAAATTAACATTTTGTTTTCAGTTAGTTAGGGTGTCCAGTTACTTTGAGCCCGTGAAATGAAGAGATAGTGTTTAAAAAAAACAAACAAAAAAAACGCTTTAGTTTCTCACATTTTTATGTATTTGAATCACTTTCTTCAACCCACTGAATTAAAGCTGAAAGTCTGCACTTCAGACTGAGTTGTTTCATTCAAAATTAATTGAAGTAATGTACATAACCAAAATTAGAAAAAAAAAGTTGTCTCTGTCCAAATATTTAAGTTAAGTTTACTGCTAAAACCAGGATTTTTATTTATTCATTCATCGCTTGTTTTAGGCACCATCTGAATGATAAGTGGAGTAACAGGCCAAACAATCAACAGTATGTTTCTAGTTCCAGCTCCTAATTTTCATTCTTGGACTCTACTAGGGTAGCTTTGCATGATTCACGCTTCAGAATAATTCCTATTTATCTAATATGGGTCTGAAATGAGCCCCTTTCAGCCAGTTTTATTCTGATTAGCAGGTGGGTGGGACTTCTGTACCTAAGATGACCAATCAGAAAGGAGTTCATGGTCCCACAAATGTCTCTTTGCGTACATGTTACCGTTTATCCAACAAGCAGAGAGAAGTTATAACCCACGCAGTTCTCAAAAGTCCAGACTGTGCATTGCTGGAAGCAGATGACGTATGCGTCTGCCTGATGCTGATTGGTTGACAAGGGGGCCTGAATAACGGTCACCAGGCGTGAAAGAAGCATGAAACAAATTTCTCCATTGACTGCGGAGCTCTCTGCATGTAAACAGGTCATCCCCTGCTGAGCCATAAATTCCACCTTTAAGAGATCCGGTCCCACTGACATCCAGAGCCAAGTAGAAAAAACCGTCTGAAACCTAGCATTCAGGGCAGCTTGAAGCCTGAGATATTGTATTTTTAAACTTTCAGACTGTATTTTGATGTATTTTCAAATGTTCTTTAATTATGATGATGGTGATCAAATGCACATTAATGTAAATATGCACTACATTTAGTCCATTTTCCTTATATGGACTAAATGCTCAAATAACAAGTATTGAGAGAAAGTTTTACGAAAGATTATTGGCCTGTCCCCCCCTGCAGAGGCATTGTGCCTCAAGCAAAGCAGCACCGACTCAAACATTAGATTTTCTCTGGGGTTTTTTTTTGGTCTGGGAACTAAACAGAGAAGCGGCTTTGCATTAGACATGGACAGTGACCCAAACGTGGAGCTGTCACCACAACATTTGTAAACTTCCTGTTAAAAGAGAAAAAGGAGCTGTAGCTGCTGAGGAATCTTCATGCTTTTCAGCAGAAAATCTAATTCTTGATTTAATTCTACCTATTTCAGCTGCTGTGGGCTTCTGGTAGTTTCCCAGTGTGGCGTTTCTGTGAATTTGTTTCATCACTTGTCATCTGTTCTTCATACGGAAAGGTTAAGTAATCTTTGACTTTGGAAAGAAGCCGGACCACAACAGGCGATGAGGTCATGATTTTAACAAAAAAAACTTCCATCTAAGTGGAAAAATTGTTGCAGTGAGAATAAACTGATGATAGTTCACTGAAAGGGGTCAAAGGTCAGCAGGCTAGAGCAGCTCTTTTACAGATAGTTCAGCGCGGCTGTAAAACAAATAGAGCACAGAAACTTTGCAATTCAAATAAAAGACGTAAATGTTGGTGTTCTTCTTCCTAATACACTTTAAATTTATATTCAAGGACTAAAATCATATTTACTGATTATCTGGGTTTCCTGCACCAGTTTTAAAGTTCATTCTCTTTTAAACAAAACCTTCTTAGGTGCTTTATTCACTGATGATCTCCTGTTTTGCATGCTAGTGCTCAGAATGGCACAAAATATAAAGACACTAACTACTATCAGTGTATCCCCACACATACACATTACCCAAGTATATTACGAGGCTCATTTTAAATTTGTTATTTTTAAAAATCGGTCTTATTTTTGAAAGACCAGTTGCTGCTAACTGTTCCAAACACTGAGTCAGAACTTTTTGAAAAAAATCCCACAAACGAGACAGGAAGTGGCCCGCCTGAGTGTAAAAAGTGCTTTATTACATGTGTTTATGTCTAAGAGTCACTATCCATTTATCTCTTTCATTGCACAGATTATGATGAATGAGTCCTCCTCTTCAGTCATACTTGATGGGTTTTCCCCTCGGGCTATAATTTTAAAAACCTACCGCAGGATAAAAGCCGCAGCAGGTGGCAGTGGTGTAATATGTTAGATTGCTTTATTTTGAAAGCTAGCTAGTTCCTAGTTGGAAACGAGTTACCACTTAAAGCTGCCCTGAAGGCTCTGTGTAAAGTGAAGCCATTAAGCTAATCTAGCAATATTTCTTGGCCAACAGGGGGCGCCTGCTCTGGTTTAAAAAGACATGAGAGGAAAATGACCTTACTTTTTACTGAGATCAAAAATAAAGTGACCACTTTCCTGATGGCTGTATGGTCTCGGTCACTAATTTTAAGTCTTATTGAATAAAACGTTTACCTTCTCAGTTTTGGCACTTGGTTTCTAAAGGGACAGTAAAGCAGGGTAGGCTGTAGTGTCACTACAGTGTAAACTGTAATGTCCTTCGGTGTCACTGTTAGATCCACTCTTATTCACGATGCCTGGTTTCAAAAGCTAAGTTGGTGATACCTGAAATCCTCAGACTGATTCTTAAAAAAAAAAGCACCAGTGGGTGAAATCCTAAAATTATTTGTTAACTAATCAATCAGCACTCCACCCTATTGAGTAACTGTGCTCACCTCATGCAAGTGAAAAATTAAAAATGGCACATCCAGCATACATAAAACCAAAATTGAGGCTTCAAAACTGCTGTTCAAACTAATGGGTAATGTCACAGTGGATGTGTCCGTCTTTTATATACAGTCTGTATTCGGCTGTATGTTGTAGCGATCAGCAGAAGGGGAAGCTGGGGGGGGGGGGCATGTGGTCTGTAACTCAACCACCACACCACAGGAGTCAGGTGAACATGTAAAACCACCATGAGGCTACGACTGTGCCTGACTGATTTTTATGAGTGTTGCATGAATGTATCGCTTTCTGTTTTTCTTTGTTTAATTTTCTGGATAATTGTTCTTTCAAACTGTTTTGGAATGATCAGTTTTCTCTGTGAGGGCACAAATGCAGTCACCTAGAGTCCCTAAAACATTTGAATAGCGCAGCACGTTTAACACTACCCGTGTGTCTGTGTCGTTTCTTTCATTAACCTTTTGCAGCTCGGACGTGAACTCTGAGCAATAACACCTCCCCTTTTCCCTCCTCAGTTTCCTGAATGTGGATTTTTTGGGATGTACGACAAGATCCTGCTCTTCCGTCACGACCTGAGCTCAGACAACATCCTGCAGCGTTTGATCTCCGCTGAGGAGATCCAGGAGGGCGACCTGATCGAGGTGGTGCTCTCTGGTAAGGAATGAATAATTTTAGTCCGTTTTCTTTTTTTTCCCCCTCAGCAGGTGGATATAATGTTCGAATTGATAAAAAACATTTATCAAACATGCAAAACTCCGAGTAGTGATGGAATCAAGTGTGCATACATAGCCAGAAATACTGCAGCCCTACCCATCCACAACCCATCACTCCAATCCTGCCCCGTCGGAGTTTAAATGTAGCTGATCTGCTGTAACTGATCACCCCGTGCCAGCCAGTTTGCGGCCTTGCAGGGAGTTTATGCTAAATGTCGTCACAGCTGCAGGCCCATGGTGCACTTGTGGTGGTGTTTCGACTCGTCATACACCTCCTGATTTTTGTAACCTGACACATGTAGCAGTGTCTACATGATGCATCAATGCACGAGGATGGAGATGCTGAGATGGCACAGAGCAAGATCGCTGCAGCATTTGAACAAAATGCCGAAAACGTGCGTGACTGCTTTGTTTCCTGTTTCAACTTCTTCTTCTCCTGTTTTCAGTTCTGAAATGGTGTAATTTTTCTACTTGGAGTGTTTAGAAACAGACTGAGATAGAGTCCAGCTTTTATTGTCCCGTTAGTGCTTTTATTAGTGTTTCTATTTAGACTGAATGCCCCTTTTCTTGTTCTCTTGAGTGTACCTTAGGTTTCTCTTTTTTCTGAATTTCATGCTTGAGCATGTCCTGTATAAATAACATTCTTTCACATTTTTGTCAATAATCATTGTATGTCCTCCTCTGGTAGCTGCTGAGTCTTTCCCAGTTTTTAAGTTCTTTATTTTCAGACAAGTAGATGATGTCGCTGAGATCTCAGCCTGCTACAGCTTAGAAAGATGCACAGACATTAATGAGATAAGCATGAGTAAAGAAAGAAAGCATGCTGCAGAAACAGAAGACACACTTACAACTGCATGTTGTCGTTTTTTGTGGGATTTCTTTTTTTGGATTTTCTATAAATCATGGTTTAATATTTGGGAGCTCAGGACCATTTAAGGTATGAACAAGAATCAAAAATGATTCCAGCTAATAATAAATAGATTAACTTTAAAATCAGCAGTAAGAATAAAATAATTGTTTAAAATGTATCTTAATGAAAAACACGGTCGTTTATTAAATGAATCAAATTTGCCTAACCGTGTATTTGGTTTCACACTGAAGTCAAAGGTAAGTTTTAAACATTTAAATTGTATCTTTATTATGTATTTTCGCATCAGTTTCGTATCCTCCGGGTAAAATGAGGCTGGCACAGATCTCGTTTCCTCTCCACCAGCGCCGCCTCCCTGGGTCACCCCCGTTCGCTCTAAACATAATATTGTGCATAGGATTGTCACTTCCTGAAATGTGTCAACATGTTGGGCTGTGAAAACTAAAACTGACACCTTTACAGCCGAACACCCAGACGCAGAGCCGCGCCAGGTTTAAATTACACAGGAGGGTGAAAACGTATCGCAACCGCACAGGCTGCAAACCCACGACCACTTCCTCCTCCTCCTCCTCGTGCACCTCTCGCTGCTACTGCTGCAAAACCCTGCAGCGCTCAGCTGGTTTATTTCACTGTTACCATTCGAGCTGCTACCAGAGCGCCAAGCGATCAAGATGAAACCGGCTCTAGTGTGATTCTTGCTGCTCAGTTGAGTTGTTTTCCAGCTTTTATACACACAAGCAGCACAAAATGGTCTGTGTGGTTGTGTATATATGTAGTACATACACATTACATTTAAAGTAGAGGAAACATTTTCAAAAAATGCAATAATTAAAGGTTGAAAGTGCAAAGAACACATCCAATAACAAGATGTTTTTATGTGTTAGCTTGAAAAGTTCATCCTCATTTAAACACTTTTCTCTTCTCTTTACTTGCATATTTTAAATCCTGTGTAACTTCAGCTCATACTTCAGGGTACAACTAACACGTGAGGCTTTCTACTTTTGTAACCCCTGAAAGACGTGCCAGACATTGATGTTTAGTGTATGTGTGACCATTTCTAGCGATAAATTCATTTGTCAGATTGTAATTCTGATACGCTCACGCTCAGAGCCCGAGCATCATCGTTTTGGGGGACCATCTCCTGGTGCGGGTGGAAAGCTTCCCACAGAGACAGTCATAGTCTGACTGCGTGTGTGTTTCTGTTTCAGCTCTCGCCACAGAGGAGGACTTCCAGATCCGACCTCACACTCTGTACGTTCACTCCTACAAGGCACCGGCCTTCTGCGATGACTGTGGGGAGATGCTGTGGGGGCTCGTCAGACAGGGACTCAAATGTGAAGGTGAGGAAGCACTCAGGAAGCTTCTAGGCTGCTGACATGTCCGTTTCTGCTCAGAGAACCCCGAAGTCTTAGTCCCGGGAACTGTTTTTCTAACACAGTGGCTAGAAGTTTTGTCCAAGGAACTTTACATCCCAGGTATTTTTATTCCGGGAGCATTTAGTCCCAGGAATTTCTTTTCAAGGAAGGGGTTAGTCCCACAGCTCTAACTCTCAGAACTTTTCCTCTGATATGCTGTGATGTACTTTGTCCCCTTAGAGTCTTTGACTATTTTTCTGTGTGCTGTGGCAGAAGACCCAAAGACCCAATAAACATAAAAAAAAAAGCTGTTATTTAAATGCTTAATGGAAGTGGGCAAAAATAAATTTTTAAAAAGAGTTCAGTCTGCATTTTAGGCTCGCCGTCTCCCGCCGGAAGGCAAGAGCTCATACTCGAGATGGAGGATGTGCGAGGGGTCCGATAGAGCTCTCCGTGCCAGGAAATTTTATTCCCAGAAACGCTTTTCAAGGAAGGGTGGTCGGAACATTTAGTCCCACAAAACATTTTCTAATGGAAGGAAGAGACAGGTGGGCTTACAGACGGAGGAGCTGAATAAAACAAAACAGGCACTGCACCAAGGCTCCCTATAAAATAAACAGGATTATTTTGAACTATGAAACATGCAAAGCCGCTCTAGTAGAGCCAGAGATGAGTTTTTGGAGATGAATTCACACAAAAAATTGCCCCAAAAATGACCACAAAACAAATATATTTGTGCCCTAAGTAACCCTAAGTAACAGAGAAGCAAATACGTAGAAAATATAGATGCTGTCCTAGTGTTTGAATTCAGTTCTTGGCTTACATTTAAGTCTCATTTTCTCAATTTTCAGCAAAAAAAATTTTTGGTAGCAAAAATTTCATGGCTGTGCCGGCTGCATGTTCAAAGTGAGTGTTGGACCCTGCCAGGGATCTGGTTTGGTGTTTGAGTTGGGGTTTGGTGAAGCAGTATGAGAGTCAGCACATTAAAGGTTGTGGTTCTCTGCCACCACTCTTGGGTTGAGGTACAGTTTTAGCCCCGAGTGAGGGAGTTAGGGGAGGGAGCGAGGTCGTTGTGGCACTGGCAGCAGTGTGGGCGCTGTCCCGAACTGCTTTTATCCTCACCTGGTCATGAGCTCTGGTTAGTGACTGAACAAATGATTGGCAAATGCCTGCATCCAAAATGAGCTTCTGTGAGTGGGTGGGCTGAGCCGGGCTCAGTGGGTGAGGGGCTCAGTCCTCTGGATGGAGCTCAGAATAGAGCCATTGCACTCTTGTGCCAAAAAGCCAGCTCGGGTGATCTGGGTGTGTGGGAAGACCCAGAGTTACAGATCCAGGTCTCACTGGAGAGATGATGGGAACACCTTGGGTTAGTCTCCCAGGAGGAACTGGAAAATTTTGGAAAAAGTTTTGGAATATCTCACTTGGCCTGCTAAGAGCAGTCTAACGATCGTGAGCATAAAGTCTCAGATTTAGTCATCAGAAATCCTTTTCAGGATGTGTGTGCATTAAAATAGGCTCCTCACTATTTAAACATTAAGATGGGAAGTGATGTCAGTGATTCAGCAGGGATGTAATAGAGGTCCGGCAGGCTGTGTGCTATTCCCTCTGAGTGACCGATAACTGGACCTTCAAACCTATAAAACTCGACTGTTTAAACCTCCATCAGAGTTCACAATGATGTCATGTTTGCTTTAACACGTCTCATAAAGTTTTATTTTCCCTGAGGTAACACGTGGTGGCTTCTCGGGTTTCCACCACGTCCACGCTGACCAAATCATCACCTCGAGGGGGAAAAAAAAGAAAGAAAGAGGCATACACACACTCGGATATTCACACACTGGTTTTTAGACCTGATTTTAAAGCTGCAGCGGCTCGTCGACTTCCTTCAGTCATTTTTCAGACAGTCTTGTCTTTAACGTTTTGATCTCGGCGCTCTGTTGTGATGCCGAGCAGAGAGACACCCGAGCAGCTGATGTTTGGCTTCCGCTTGTACGTTTGAAATGGTTAAAAATGAAAAGTTCCCAAACCTGAAGCGACAGAAAAAAAATAGAAAAACAACCTTGATGGAAGAAAATTTTAGCTTTTTTTTTTTCCTGCACATTTAAGCTTCAGATGTTGTAAACAGCTTTCTGAACCACATCCTGGACTCAATAAATTCCGTGTTTTTAAACAGATAATTTGGCTATGAGAAGATTGTTGGGCATAAATGAACCTTTAGAAGAGTAAATTAATACTTTGACACATTTTAATGCATTTATCTGATAAATAATGGGCCTTACTTTGGCCTTACTCGTACAGACAGATTGTTCATGAAGTCTGTGCTCCAGTTGTGAGCAGGCATCTAAATTCAATACAGCTTGTTGACCAGATGTGCTATAAACTTGGTACTCTGTGCTGTCGTCGCATGACCCTACACTGGTTAATTTGAACCGTAACCATATTTCATATAAGCCAGTGATGTTGAGTAACCTGGTTTTGCATAGAAAATGGACAGAAAGGACTTAAAAGCCCGGCCCTGCCTGAAGGGTTAAAATTTCCTTGGTAAGAAAAATAAAAGGTTCATGCTCTGCTTTGGCCCTGCCGTGTTTTATCAAGAATCTGCATTCCTGAGGTTTAGTCTCGGCACATTTTAGCCACAAAAGCTACAAAATGACCCTCCTGCAGCACAAGACCAGAGATTTATGTTCAATTCAATTTTCAATTTTATTTTATTTACACAGCGCCAAATCACAACAACAGTCGCCTCAAAGTGCTTTATATTGTACGGCAGACCCTACAATAATACATACAGAGAAAAACCCAACAATCATACGACTCCCTATGAGCAAGCACTTTGGCAACAGTGGGAAGGGAAAAACTCCCTTTTAACAGGAAGCAACCTCCAGCAGGACCAGGCTCAGGGAGGGGCGGCCATCTGCCGCGACTGGTTGGGGAGAGAGAAGGAAGACAGGATAAAAAACATGTTGTGGAAGAGAGCCAGAGATTCAAAGCAGCTGAACATGGAAGCAAAGCTGCTGATTCACAGGTTTATCTGCGTTTCTACTCTCATCTGTGGTTGTGAAACCAAAAGAATGAAATCATAGATATGAATGATAGATATGATCTTTCTCAATTGTTGTTGGGGCTCTGGCTTAGAGAGAGGGTGAGACTAGGATGCCTCCCGGGGAGGGCCTTGGTCTCATCCTGGAAGAGCTGGAGGTACTGGGGGTGTCTCCCAAAGGCCATGGGTCGGACTTGGTTCCTTTATTAACTTCGGGATCAGAACTTCAGTTGAACTGTGAATCTTAATGATGATTAATAATGATTCCTCTCCTGTGCAGGATGTGGACAGAACTACCACAAGCGGTGTGCGTTCAAGATCCCCAACAACTGCAGCGGCGTGAGGAAGAGGCGACTGTCAAACGTCTCCCTGCCAGGCGCCACCTTGTCTGTCGCTCGTCCACCTTCCACTGACTTCAGCCCGGCACTGCAGGAGGAGGTGGGTCTGCTGCGCTCGGATGAAATCACTCATTAGTCGTATTCATTTTAGTTGGTTTTTTTGGTTGTTGTTTTTTTTGAATGAGTTAAAATGTATGCACAGACTTCCCTTGCAGTTGTGCAGCCCCAGTACACACACACACACATACACACACACATGCACTTTCTGTCTGATGGCTCGAGGCAAACCGCTTGATTTTTCCATCCGGTTCAAGCCAACAAGCAGAGAGAGTCACAGTCAGATTCTCACAGGCTGAGCAAGCACACAGATCAGAGGGGGACCTGACCCATATACGTATCTGACCTGAGTGGACCCGAGCAGCATGTTGTGCAATCAGTTAGTCTGATTGATTAACAAACAGCCAAGCTAGATTTTACAGATCCCAGAAAGAAACTGTTCCTTTAAGAGACCCGATGTGTGATCACGCTCAGGCAGCAGATCCTAAAGAAGTCTCGCTTTCTTCATGGACATTTCAGATAATTTGGACTTTGTTAGGAGGTCTAGAGGTCCATGCACATGTGGTGAATCAGTGAAGTGAGAAGGTGGATTATCCAACTGTTCTGTACTAATTCAGGCCCATTGTGTCACATGCTTCCTGCTCCTGCCAGGACAGTGCCCTGCAAGCTGCATGCTGTACAAGGACAGTCATTGTTCTTGTTCTCGTGGATGGAAAAGAGTTTGTCTGTACGCCGCTTTCACGATGACTGAGCAAATCTCTAAATTTGATGTTTCAGATCAACCTCTGAAGCTCTGACTACTCCTTTCATTTCCTTTTAGTTAGAACTAAAAAAAAAAACATCAATCAAAGACCAAAAACGAGGGAAACTTTCACCTAAAGATCAGCTACGTGATCCCGCCACAGTCCAAACGCTCGCTCGTTAGGTTAATTGAGTGTTAGTTGGCTTTAGATGTGGGCGTGAGAGTGTCTAGTTGTGTGTCAGCGTGTTAGCCTTATGGTGGACTCAATCCAGACACATACAGCACAACGCAGAACAAACTCTACACTAATTCATGTTTTTAGAAGCGTTTTGTGTGCTTGTGTGTTATTCTGTCTGTGAACACGAGAGCTTGAAAAGTTTTAAATGAATTCTGATAAAACTTAAAATTTGGCTTACATCCACCAAAAGCTTCCGGCCAACATAATGGTTTACAAAAATCCTCATATATGTCACGTTTGACCTCTGACCTCTCCTTCGAGGTCAGTAGATTGCTATAAAGAGTTAGTTTTTTAGACTAACAAGAACATGCTGTTGACCCGCAAGCTGGCCGAGTTGCTCCAGCAGATTGTGTGTTAGAAGGAGCTTCAGGAGGGCAAACTGCCAACCTCATAAAGTGCATTTAAAAAGAACAAAGAAAACTAAATTTAATACTTTTCCCTTAAATGTAAATGATGCTAGGAGAGTGAGTCACCTCAGCACAGATTTGTGCTTCTTGTTGACATTATGAACACAGAGCACCTTTACTGTGATAATCAGTAGATAAGTCTGCCAACACCCACGTGAAGCTGCGCATGCATGAGCGCAACAACATAACAGGCTCGCCTGTTTCCAGATTCAGCTGATTGCCTCTTTCAGGATGTTTGTGGTAATTAATAAAAGAACTTGCATAAAAATGGAGAAAAAAAAGAAGACTGCATCATTTGTTGTTTATATTTGAAAGTTGAATCCACAGATGGTTCAGACATCTTGGTTCTGTATCGGTACAAAATACTATAAACTGAAGATTTGCCAGAGGCAGAAGAACTGAGATAAAATCTGAACTCTTGACCTCATCAGTCAGAGGATCTGGAAGCCCTGCTGGGAGAGGAAAGGTCACTGAAGCTAAAGCTGTTCTCAATGATCACTTTTGATTCTATGAAAAACATTTCTGTCCTGGTGGAAGTCGTCTATTCCAGGGTGGCAGTGCCCTACAGATATAAAAGATAAGGGTAGGAATTATTAAGCACTTTCTGCCTCCAGCGTCTAAGCGTGATGTCTTTTAATGATTAGTTTTTACATGAAGAACAAATTTAAATACAAACTAAAATGAGTTACTGAAGTGTTATTGGTCAGTTTGCTCTCTGTTTGGAAATCTGAGCATAAACAGAAAAATAAATCCTATTTCTTCTTCGCATTTTTGTTTCTGTTCTCCGCCCCTCTGCAGCGCCCTCTTCTGGGCGCCATGAAGCGCAACTCCCTGCTGAGCGGCCGGCCCATCTGGATGGAGAAGATGGTCCTGGGTCGGGTGAAAGTCCCCCACACTTTCTCCGTCCACACCTACACCCGTCCCACCATCTGCCAGTTCTGCAAACGCCTGCTGAAGGGCCTCTTCCGCCAGGGCCTGCAATGCAAAGGTGACGACACACACGCAAAAACACACACACAGGAAAGTCTTAGAAAATAGAGAAACCAACAGTCCAAACTCCAGAGATATTCAATCTGCTCTGAAGTCCTAACCTTCCTTCACTCTTTTCTTAATCGCCCTGTGAAGTGTGTGGAGAGACTCTGCAGTACTCTGTGGGAACCGTCGGTTACTCTTCGTCACATGGTTATTCAAGAAGTTTAAAATGTTTAATATGTTTTTTGTATGTTTGCTTTTTAGACTGTAAATTTAACTGCCATAAGAGATGTGCAGCCAAAGTACCTCGAGACTGCCTGGGCGAGGTCGACTTTAACGGAGGTGAGTCGTTTTCACGTTTACCGCTTTAATCATCTGGAACCTTTGATGGGCAAAATTTAATATCTGCAGACAGATTCTGACGCTGTAGGCAAAGGACGGGAGATTTGCTCTTGGACTCTTTTTAGTTTCTTCCTGTTGTTGGATTTTTATTGACCGCTGAGGACACTTTGGTTTCATACAGGTAGAGAAGATCAAGGAGGAAATGCAATCTCAAAGCCGTCAGCTGCCATCTCATGACAGTTTATGCGATTAGGTTCTTCTGACCAGCGCAGGGAACAGGAAGTTGGCTTTACCAGATTCCATAAAACAGTCACAGTTGTGCCCAGAGGCTAAAACAAAACCGTTAAATGGACAGTTAAATGGGTTCCCACCCTGGCTACTGTTTATCTGTAACACCATATCTGATTTCCTTTTTTATTATTCATTGGAACATACGCCCTCCATACAACAATAAAAGACTGCAATTTAAATAATAATTAAAATGACTAACACTGAAACTGGATTGAGAAGCGTTTTCATTTCAAGTCTTTGGCATTTTACACCTAACGCCTACTGGCCATTAGAGGAACTGCAGCTCAGTGAAATCTCGGGCTGGAAGTTTTAAGACCTGTTCCCAGGCTCTCATGGTTTTCCTGTTTCTTCAGAGCCAGCCAGTCCTGGTATGGACTCAGAGGCGACGATGGAGGTGGACTGCGATGTGAACAGCGATGGAGGTCACAGCATGGACGAGCAGGACGAGCAGTCCACCGAAGACAAGATCTTCTTCGGGGGTCCCTGCACAGACTGCGAGAAGGATGACGAGACGGTCAGAACGATCAGGTGAAGCAGACGACTGGAACTGGTGACGGGCTTTAAAATAGCATTATAAAAATCTTAATTTATCCTCATGAGAAAATCTATTGAGCCTCAGTATTGGATGCTTTGTCATAAGTAGAGATCATGATATGTGTGATGTGAACAGGTTCGATTTCTCTCGGATATACGGTACAATTTCAAAGTGGGGTCCAGTGTTGGATGGCATGTTTTTACCCCCGTCAGCAATAAACCACAAGCATGGCTCCACCCTCATGTGGTTTGTAACCGAAATCTACAACAAACGAGTGTGTTCAGTGTTAAGAGAGCCTAGAGCTTTAGAGAACAGAAAAGAAGGAACTCCTCCAAAGACTTGCATGCATTTTATTTTTTTATTTGAATCTTTGACATTCTCATTAGTATTGTATTTTTGTGTGGGCTTTTTTTCCTTAAAATGCTTCTTTGCATGTTTTTATTTGGTTTCACGCAGCCCGTCGACCAGCAGCAACATCCCTCTGATGCGTGTGGTCCAGTCCATCAAACACACCAAGAGAAAAAGCTCCACAGTGGTTAAAGAAGGCTGGTTGGTGCACTACACCAACCGTGACAACCTGGTGAGATGAAGCACAAAACACAGACAAACTAAGGTGTCTTTTGAGCTTTTTTTTAGGCCTTTGGGTGCCTGACAAACACAGCTGGTCTGTTTGCAGGAACAACAACAAAAGCAGGAAATATCTGAATTCATTTTATAATTAAGTAAAAATATCAATCCAGTCTAATCCTTTGGCTTTGGCTAAAAGCTCTTAGGAGCAGCAAAAAATTCCAAAAAAGAGACACAAATACTAAAAGCTAAAACATTTATAGACAATATTCACACACAAAACATATGAAACACAATGCAAATATAAAATTTGTACATTACACTGTAAGCACTAATTGGCTAATGTGAATAGCATTTTTCAATAATGTGCTTCGCTGTAGGAGTTACTGGGAGAAAGGCAAAGCCGTCACTAATCCCAGCGTCGTATTTAGAAAATGTAATAAAAGTGATGTTAATCTGCACCAAAATTTCAAACGTTCTTCCTTTTTTATTTGCTCTACCTCACTGCCAAATTTCAAAAATTTCAGCTTGGTAGTTTTTGGAGATGAACAAACACGGGGCACTGATAACCTACGTCAGCTTTAGCACTGCAGTCTGGAAGTTCGAGGTGCTTCATCAAGTCAGTGCAGAAATTATTAAATCCATTTTAATCACTGAGCTTTGGATTTTGGTATATATCCACACAATCTGGAAACATGTTCTACATGCAAATGCTCTATTAGAAATGAACAAGCAGTTAAGTGCATCAGGTGAACACATCTATTGTCATCCAGGGAATTAAATTATTGGCCAATAAAAAGACTCTGTCCTACATATAGTACTGTTTGAAACGGTTTCTTGTACTTCAGATATTTCCATTTATATCCATCACTCAAAACCTCAAAGGAAAGTCTTTGATTACTGGAAACTAAAAGAGATTTAAAGATTTTTATTTTCTCTCTGGACTCAGATTCAAAGCATTCTCCCTAATGACAAGTTTTGTCTTTGCAGAGGAAGAGACATTACTGGAGGCTGGACAGCAAGAGTCTGACTCTGTTTCAGAATGAAAGTGGAGCCAAGTATTACAAGGTAGGAGACCCGGTGAGCCCCGGATCTAGTTTCAGCTGCTCGGCCAAACAAAGCAGCGACGTGAAGAGAAGAGCTGGAGGGAGTCGGGTTCATACCGTAACACAGCATGAACCTCATAAGACATTAACACACATCACTGTCTGCTTGTCCACTGTAATTGTTCCAAGAGCAGGTTGTCTATCATTGGTTGAAAGCTCTGTGTTGATAATGTAACTTAATATATTTAAAGAAAGGTGGCAAAGAAACACTAAAAATATCTGTTGTACCAACACTGACATTGAATAATGCACCTGGCATTGTAAATGCGCCATTTACTGGCCATTTCAGTAAATGGCCTGTATTTGTATAGCGCTTTACTAGTCCCTAAGGACCCCTAAGGACCCCAAAGGACCCCAAAGCGCTTTACACATTCAGTCATCCACCCATTCACACACTGGTGATAGCAAGCTACATTGTAGCCACAGCCACCCTGGGGCGCACTGACAGAGGCGAGGCTGCCGGACACTGGCGTCACCGGGCCCTCTGACCACCACCAGTAGGCAACGGGTTTTGGACACAACGACAGAGACTGTCCAAGTCAGGGCTCGAACCGGCAACCTTCCGATTACAAGGCAACCTCCCAACTCTTGAGCCACGATCGCCCATTGTGATTGTAACAAGAACTGGGTGCATACGTTTGAATTTATTTTAGACTTTCTTTAATCCAAGGACAAACATACATTCGCTCACTCAAATATTTTTAAGAAGTGGTGCTGATGTTTCTACAATGTCTTAAGTTCACGTTGCTAAGGCCTGTTAACTGTTGGTGATCACAATTGGCTTCAACTGGTAGTTCCTCTTTGCCAGCATAAAAGGATTTGTTTGAAATACTCAAAACCATGGAGAAGTCCAAAGAACTCAGTGAAGATCTAAAAAGGTCATCCAAGATTCAAGATCATTGTTCAAAAAATTGTTGTTTGGATATGTCACCACTTTGGTGAGGTTGGGAAGACAAACCCAAACTGTCACCCTCGGATGATGGACATGAACTGTCCACAGTGAAGTGAGTTTTACGTCACTAGACTGAGTGGTTGCTGACCAAGAAAGAAGCCCCCTGTCCAAAATCAGCACCATCAAGCTTGACTAAAATTTCCAGCTGCCCACATGGACACGCCAAATAACTGCTGAAGAAAAACTTTATGATTTATACAAGATAAAGAGCCACAGTGATAAGAGGTGTTTGAGAAGTAAAGGGGAGGTTTTCAAACCTACTGTAAAGCATGGCGGTGGTAACATCATGTTCTGGGCCAAAGTAGATGAAATAATAAACAAAAAATACTTCAAATCCACAGATAGACGCTTGAAACTTGGATACAATTAGCTGTTCAAACAAAACAGGCTAAATTTAAGCTTCTGGAATGGGCTTCACAAATCCTCGACCTCAACCCCATGAAAGATTTGTGGGCTATGCTTTAAAGCCATGTCCATGCCAGGAAACCAACCAGTTTGAATGAACTCTACCAATTCTGCCAATAAAAGGTGTCAAATATTCATATTGAACCAGAAGCCTGTTGGTGGCTACCAACTCTGGTCAACTTGCTAAATATTGGGTGTGATGTTTATATCTGAGCCCGTATGTAGACTTTTGACCATGTGTGAATGAGAGAAAATCCAAAATAAATTCAAGCTCATAATTCTTGTTTTTAAAGTTATTAAAGATGCATGCTGCACAGTCACTTAACTGGAAAAGCAACAGTTCAAAGAAGTCACTAAAAGACCCAAATTACCACGACATTTATGCCCATGACGAGTGCCTGTAAACTTTAGCAGCAGTGTGCTCACTGATGTGTTTTTAATGACAGTGCAGATCTGTGGCTTTTATTTATTTTTTGAATCCAATTTTGAACTTCCAAGTTGGACTAAATAATTTCCTTGAAAACTGTGATCACTGAATTCAGCTGCAGCTCCATCACTTCCCTCTCTCATACCTCACGTCCTTTTATCTCGCGCCTGCCGCCGACCTGTTGACCTTTAGCACAAAGCGCAGCAGAAATCCTCCTTTGAAGAGAAAGCCAGGGAGGAGGTATGGAGCACAAGGCCGGGGAGGTGGGGTGGTTGGAGGGTGGGGGATCTGTGGTGGTTTTTGGAGATGTCGGGTCGCTTCCCTGCCGCCTCTTTGGCTCACTGCCACGCTGCCAAGTGCCCGAAGCTTCTAAGGCACGTCCTGCCTTTTAATCAGAGGATGAAAAGATGGTGATGGGAGGGCGTGGCTCGGGGTGAACTTGGCAAAATGTTCAAATGAGTCCGAGGAGCGTGGAGACACCACTGAGCCAATCGCTCTTTTTGAAATGTTTGATCTGGCATGGTTAAGGGTTTGTGGAGGGGTGCAGGGTTTCTGCACTCTGCCAGAAAAGGAAGGAAGAGAAGTTTTAAACACTGACATTCAAAGAGTGCCTTAGTTTTAGCAAGGAGAGGAGAGGTGCAAGGATGGAGCCCTCTGGATAATTTCAAGACCTCATGGATGATTCTGACTCTTAAAGAATAAAATCAAATCAGAGAAGATATGTTCTATAAGTGCCGAAATTCAAGTTCAGGCTAAAGGGACCTTTTTAGATTACTTCATCCACAAGACCCAGGATTTAAGCTTTCTTTTTTATTCCATAGGAGATCCCCCTGTCTGAGATCCTGCAGGTGGAGCCGGCGCAAGACTTTGGCAGACTGCCTCAGGGTAGCAACCCACACTGCTTTGAGATCATCACGGGCAGCATGGTGTACTACGTCGGGGAGGACAACGGTGGCCTCTACCACAACCCAGCTTTGGCAGCATCTGGCGTGGGACGGGATGTAGGGCAGAGTTGGGAGAAAGCCATCCGACAGGCGCTGATGCCCGTCACACCCAAGGCTAGCGTCGGCACGGGGCCAGGCCAGGGGAAGGATCACAGTGAGTAACGGACCCTCTTTAGTCTTTGGTCCTGTTCTTTTTTTTGGCTGTTCCTTCTGTACCTTCAGCAGGAAATTCAGTTTTGTGTAAAAAAATACGGATGTGACCGCTGTGTCTGAAAAGCCAATGTAGAAGTTAATAGCCAAAACAGACAAACAAACGAAACCCCCCCAAAAAAGTCCAGTCATTTTCTTTTCAAGCTCTCAATACTACCATGAACTGAATGGCTAAATAAATATAGAAGTGTCATAAACCTGCATTTATTCTAACGGCCAGCAGGGGGCGGTGGGTCTTGCTGTAATGGAACATTCTCATTTTTTTAAACTATGACTTCAGTAGATATGTTATGCTAGCTGCAGGTTATACTGAAAAAAACAAACTAGGAATTAATTTTGTGAAGTATTGTCATTTTTAAGGTCAAAAATTGAGATTTAACCCGTGACTTATCAGACACAACTCAAAACACCAAGATGGCGACCGTGACAGTGTTTAGTTTGAGGCTTTTCAAACCAAGATCATGGTGGCTACACCAGTCTTTCTTTTACTCTCTCTGTGGTTTACAAGCGTGTAAAAAGACAAAAACAGAATATTTGAGGAATTAGTCTTGCATTTATTCATGTTACATAAGACCCAACCTCTTGAGGAATGGCAACCAATCAAAAAAGTGAACCCAATAACATGACACTCATATTGGCTTGTTCATTCCAGCTAAATTAAATGATTGAAAATGAGAAAGCACCGTCAGTTCTCTTGCAAGATTTAATGGTCCATTGGCTCCCCAATGTGATAAAGTCGTTCCGTACAGTCAGAAACATTCCCAAAGCGTAATGGTTCCACCTCCATGCTTGACTGCGGGAATGTGTTACTGATGGTCTTCTTGGTGCCTTCAGGTCATTAACAAGCTTCTCCTGTGAGGCAAGCTCTTGTTTGGAGCTAAAGCACGAGGGTGACTGATGGTCATTTTAGATTTCTTTCATTTCCCATTTATCACCTTCTGACTGAGCTTCGTGTTGCTCGTCTTGTAGTCTGTTCCACTCTTGTTCTTTGACATCTCGTTGCTCTTGTCCGTAGTGGTGGAGAGGCTGGAATGTTTGAAACCGGTTCTTTAGCGAGGTGTGCTTTATACACAACAAGGAGAGATCAGGAGTATCTGTAATTGATTAACTAACTCTAATCTGCGTGCCCATTTGGCTCACAGCCAGTCTGTGGAAGCAGGAACTCTAGCTGGGTTACAGATCAAATACATACTCAATGACACGAATCAATTTAACTTTTATGTAATGTGTTCTTTCTGGATTTTTGGTTGATACTCTGTTTCTCTCTGTTTAAATGAAACTATTGTAAAAATCAGAAACTGTTCATTTGTTTGTAAATGAACAAACTTACAAATTCAGCAGGAGATAAATTATTTCCCCCATTGTATGTATACTTATAGACATATTTTTAAGCCTGTGGATATTTCCACTGATGTATTGCATCTACTTTTGTTGTACATGTAGTAGAAAAGCATTGTTATGGTTTGTTCTACCTCTGACGACCTTTCTGTGTCAGTTTGTATATTTTTAGAAAGATGGAATATCTTTCTAAATTTTATCTTTATGTAATAAAAGGCAGATGTTTGATAATGGAGGCACACCCAGTGAGGTTCATGCACACTATATTAATGCCCATCTTTGCCCTTTGATACAGTAATGGAGTCGCTTCTGAAATCAGATTAGACTTTTTATGCTTTAATGGACGTGCGTTTGTTTGTTCGCCTGCGAACAGCTTCCAAATATTGTTTTAGGAGGCCACCGTTACACAACACACACAAACACACGCAGACACACGCCGTCTGCTGGCATTTTAACATGATTGAAGGGATTTCAGAGGATTTTCCGCTTCATCTCAGCTCCGATCCATCTCAGGTTAAACTGTCTCTTTGTCTGAAAATAAGAGTCTTAAGTTTCATCCTTTAAATTAGAGCACCTAAATGCACCTCGTGGAATTAAAGTAAAAGAGCATTAGCTGTTATTGAGCACAGTTGGTGTGTTATAAAAGTGCGGCGCTTCAGGGGACGCAGTCAGCAGTGGCGTTTTCCACTTGTTGAGTAATTAACGCGGAGCTTCAATTTCCTCCTGAAAATGGATGTTTTGTTTTTGAAATCATGGCATCAATAAGTTAATGCACCGGTGATGTAACACCACTTTTTGTTTTATTACCTCATAGACACACAGACCGCCACTGGACCTTTATAGTCATGTATAACCGAGGGAAATCCACCCCCACGCAAAAGAAAAAAAGGAAAGAAATGACACTGCTCTGCTGCAGATCCATTAGTGTCAAAGTTATATAAATGGAAGCAATCAGCAGGCATGCAAACACTGGTGCTGCGTTTACAGGTCGTGTGGTGTTCTGTGGAGATTATTGAAGCATTAAAAGACTTCATGTGATGTTATCCTTCTTTTTTTCCAGTGGTCCAACCGTTTTATTGTTGTTATTGTACTGTTATGAAATGTTATTCTATCTGACAAATTCTATCTACGTGACATAAACTTGCAGTGGTCGGGGTTTGTCTTTGTTAGGGAACAGCAGTAATCGCACAGGTTTAGACAGGAAGAAGCATTTCGTTAATTTAAAAGAGTCAGTATTTACAGAAATAACCGTTTTTTCATGTCTGATCCATCCCTGCGGTCAAAGGTGATCACAGTGTAGGGGCTCTTGGTTATCTACCTGTTTTTTGTTTTTGTTTTTTAAATATTGATTATAGATTCATGATCGGATTAAGCTCTTGGGAATTTCCACTCCATGGATCCAAAATGTTAACTTGATGTTCTCACTTTTGCCTTGTGACGCTCCATCTTCCTGGAAAATGCAGATTGCCAACAAATTGCTCCTGGATCGCTTTCATGTGGCTCATTTCATGGAAACTCAGCAACCTGACCCCCTCAGAATCAGCTGTTTTTGTGCAATAACTTTAATATATTTGATAAAAACATGCTATTGGTTTATTAGTTTATTCTCAGGTGAGTCTCTAAATCTAAAGACAAAATCACAAACCAGCATTTGCACTTTGTATGTTTGATCTGATACGTCACTGGAGGAAATGTCACAAGGTGTACAGGAGTGCAGTCCTAGGAATGTTTCGGATGCGCAAACTCCCAGGCCTCTAGTGAAAGAATTGCATCCCTGGGTCAAAATTCCTCAGCACTCTTTGGAGATGTGTGCTTCCCACTTCGATAAACCTACATCAGCTCTGCATGGTGACCTAAATATCAACAGGCTGCCTATCTACATCAGACTGCAGGTATTGATCGCAGAGGGGTGACCCGATCAAACCCCGGGCAGCGATCCGAAATCGATGTCAGCTCATCAGTTTTCTTTGCACAGAACGCGCCGTCGGCTTTCAGTGTCAGCCCGAATTAATGCTCCCATGAAAGGAGGAGACAGGAAACAGAGGCTTTTATTCTTGTGAGATCTGGAAAACGATTTGGAGATCGTTGTCGCAGCTGGAAATCTCCCGTCACCTCTGTCTTTGATAAACAAGGAAATGTTGGAAATGAGATTTTAATGATTTGGAGGTTGGGGGGAAAAAAACACGTGTTTGCTGTAAGTGAAGGGGGTTAAATACCTGCAGATTTCACCTTTTTTTTAATATATATAAATATGTATTTTATTTTGTGTCTTCTCAGAGGAACTGTCTATCAGCATATCAGTGTCCAACTCCCAGATACAAGAAAATGTGGTAAGCCATCACACACAAGCAGATGTTTTTTCCCTCTTTATTTCAGATTTGTCCCGTCTTAAAACACAGTTAAGGATGTTCTCACAGTCTGAGGTGCTCTAATCTGTCTTGTTCAGGATATCAGCTCAGTGTATCAGATCTTTGCTGACGAGGTCCTCGGCTCGGGACAGTTTGGGATCGTTTATGGAGGTGAGAGGTCGTGTTAAAATGAGACATATTTTATATGCATTACAGACAATTACAAACAATCAAATTGATCTCTTTTCTCATCTTCTGCAGGCAAACACAGAAAGACCGGCAGAGACGTGGCGATCAAAATCATCGACAAAATGCGGTTTCCTACTAAGCAGGAGAGCCAGCTGAGGAACGAGGTGGCCATACTTCAGGTGAGACGTGGCGAGCTTTATTAATTTAATGTGAGATTAAGTTAGAGCTGTACAATCAATCAAATTTTAATCTCACAATCTCGGCTTCCCACGATGAATGCAGTGATCAAACAATATTTAAGATGTAATCGAGCATCATGTTTGAGGAATCCTTTTTATAGTTTTAAAAAATGGATAACATCTTTACAAAACTGTTAATTACTTCATTAGATTGCTCCAGTTGGAATCTGGTTTTCACAGATTGTCTCCTATGTGTGACAGAACCTCCACCATCCGGGGATTGTTAACCTGGAGTGCATGTTTGAGACGCCCGAGCAGGTGTTTGTGGTCATGGAGAAGCTTCACGGCGACATGCTGGAGATGATTTTATCCAGCGAGAAGAGCCGGCTACCCGAACGGCTCACCAAGTTCCTGGTTACACAGGTGAGAACGTGAAAGCTCAGGCGGAAGGAGACACTTTTTTGTCTGTTTTCTTAGGCAGGGTTTATGTGGATGTCTGATAGGACTCTGATAGGAGTCATTCAGTTTGTGACTGTTGGGTCTGCAGATCCTGGTAGCCCTGAGGCATCTTCACTTCAAGAACATCGTCCACTGTGATCTGAAGCCTGAGAACGTCCTGCTGGCCTCTGCAGAGCCGTTTCCTCAGGTTAGTACAAATGCACTTTCCCACACTGAGGCAGCTCACCCAGGTGTTGCAATTGGTTGGAACTTGGTTGCTATTGCGCTGGTCCTTGATGTCATTCAGCTGCTTTCCAGGGAGCCTTGTCTTTGGGTCTGACAGTACTCCACACCAGTGCACTGCAGACCACAAGAACCAGACGTTTTCATAGTACCGATCTCACCAAGGGTCCAGAGCAGAACGATAGTCGCCGCCACAGCTATCTTCTGTTTAATTATAAATTAGAAGGACGAGGAACTCACGGGAGAGCCAGTGGATTAATGCTGCATTTTTCCCCCCTCTCAACCAGGTGAAGCTCTGCGACTTTGGTTTCGCTCGTATCATCGGGGAGAAGTCGTTCCGCCGCTCAGTGGTTGGCACTCCGGCCTACTTGGCGCCCGAGGTGCTCCGCAGCAAAGGCTACAACCGATCTCTGGACATGTGGTCGGTCGGCGTCATCGTTTACGTCAGTCTGAGCGGGACGTTTCCCTTCAATGAGGATGAGGACATCAATGACCAGATCCAGAATGCCGCCTTCATGTACCCAGCCAACCCCTGGAAGGAGATCTCAGAAGAGGGTAAGGGAACATCTGGACTTGGGTTCATTCATGTTCACATTTGTAACAATTTGTGTGTTTTAACGCCGCTTGACTATTCTTCTCCGACAGCCAAAGACCTGATTAATAACCTGCTGCAGGTGAAGATGAGGAAGCGCTACAGCGTGGACAAGTCGCTGAGCCACCCCTGGCTGCAGGTAACCAAACTGCTTTCCTTAGAAGAGTCTGCAGTATTGCGTGAGCGTTATTAAAGTAAATAAAGATTTAATAATGACAATAATAATAATAATAAATTTTATTTATGAGCGCCTTTCAAGTCACCCAAGGACACTTTACAATAAGATAAAACACTTAGTAAAACAATTGCAGAATAAGAACAATAAAATAAAAGCACAAGATAAAATGAACAAACAGTGGATTCACAGTGAATATGCAGTACTTAATGAAAGTAAAACATTTATTCCCCCCTTTAGGAAAAAATGTAATGAGGTCATAGAGCAAGAAGGGCGAAGGCTGGTTTCTCATTCACTAGTCTTTGTGTAACACCACAGGAGTCGCCCCCTGCTGGCCATTAGAATGAATGCAGATTCACGTTGGCTTCATATTTATGTTTTCGACTTGGAAGCTGTGTCCATCTTTTGTGTACAGTCTGTGATGCAGGACATAAAGTTATTATTTTAACTCTGTTTTTGAATGATCAAATCATACCTTAAATCACTGATTTAAAGGGACAGTTGACCTCTATATCAAATATACAACAATAGATTTTCTCAGGCTTATAGACATGCTTCTTAGCAGATTTCCCTATTACGGTCATGTAACACAGCCAAGGGGCAACCAATCAGACGAAAGTTGGCTTAATAGGGGGGAGGAGCTAAAATGGCTTATTTCAAATGGAGGATGAACTGGTCCAGTCTAACATAAATAAGGATTATTTTGAGCAATGAATCATGCAAAGCTCCTGCAGCAGTCAAAGATGGAGTGAAAGCTGAGCATAAAAAAAGTGTTTAATGTTGTCATTGTCGTCCAGGACTACCAGACCTGGCTGGACCTCAGGGAGTTCGAGACACGGCGAGGTGAGCGATACATCACTCACGAAAGCGACGATGCCCGATGGGAGGAATACGCTGACGAGAGAGGCTTGCACTACCCCAAACACTTCATCATGTCGCCCAACCTGGATGACATGGAGGAGGACCCCTAGAGGCCTTGGCCATGTTGACTTTTCTTAAGAGGGTTAGCCTCAAACCCGGGAAACTGTTGACAGAAGCGCCACTGTGTAGGCCGCAGGCTTTCCCCCATGACGGCGTGTGATGACCCATGAGGACACGCTGATCAGGCAGCTCACTGCAGCGATAATTCAGGTCCAGAGAATTAAAAATTTTCAAATATTTTATCTTTTTCCAGTTTCTTTTTCGTTTCTACAAAGCCATAAACAAACGGACGCTAAGAGCCGAAACACGGAAACATCGTGTTTTTTCTCCCCAGAATTCAACTTGGGGCTTCAACATATGTCAGCACTGCCAGCGGAGTCGTGGAAGGGCTAATCCAAAACCAAACCAGAGACTCAACTCACTTTTTCAGCTCGATAGCACAGTTTTAGCAGGTGGCCGTTACATTGTAGTTCTAAAAAGCTGTGTAGATGTCAATGTCGTCTTTTGTGACTAACTGGAACTCACGAGAAACAAGCGCTCTCTCCCGACTGTGGTTTTTGTTCTTGTTGGGATGTCTTTGCACTATTGGGACATTTTTTTTTCACGAGAATTTCACTGTCAGTAAGTCTCAGTTTGATCATCTGCAAAAGTTTGAAGCCATGTTAGCCTCCCTCGAGGCTGCAATTACAATCTTAAAATTAGAAAATGAATGTTGGCCAAATAGTCAACCAAACATTTATTCAATGCAGATTAAATTACTTTTATCTGACTAGTTTTGAGAACAGATTTGGCCTTTAAAGCATCAAAACAATATCAATGCTATGTTCCAAGACTGCAGTTCCTCTAATGGTCACTTGAGGCTGGCCCTGCGTCTAACAATGCTTCTTAAGTATGAAGTTTATTTAATGAACACTTCCTGGACTCGAATAAGAAATATTTTTTATGTACCATTAATTATTAGTAGAGTTGGTTAGTTTTTCTATTTAAAGAAACTCTTTTGCTAACAGACTTATTTTAGCTGGTGACAGATGCGGACGTTATATTAAAGTTAAGTGGGACGTACATCACTGTCTCCGACCTGTAATAATGTGGCTGTATGGCAGAAACTTTTGCAGAGGAACAAACGTGAGTTATTTTCAGAAACTCTGGAAGAGCTGAGAAGAATCGAGCTGCTATTGTCTCCTTTGTCTTTCTGAACTCTAACGTGTTCGTCAATCCCGATCTGACTCCAGCCTGAGAATTTATTTCACGTTTTATATTTTTGCAAGAAATGTTTTGTCATTTGGATGAAAATATTAAAGATGAACGGCAAAATGCGGGTGAGTCGTCATTGTTGTTCCTGTGCCAGTCGTCTTCTAGATGAGGCTCCAGCACTGTGGAAAAAAACAGGCGGACGTCTTACTCCATAGAGTTTTTCTGGCATTTGCTTTGCGCACTCTCAAGACAAAAACTTTGCCTTTATTTATCAGTCATAGGAAGTGATTTAAACCCTTCATCGGGCACCAGCAGTGTTTTACTCGAGGACTACTTGCACTCTTGTCACACTTCGACAGCCTATCCAAGTTTGCATGTTCTCCCTGTGCCTGTGTGCGCTCTCAGACTTCCTCTCACAGTCCAAAGACATGCGTGTTAGGGTTACTGATTGCTCTGACTGACTGTAGGTTAGTCCTGTGATTAACTAATGACCTGGACAGGTGTTCCACGTCTCACCCTGTGACAGCTGAAACCTTGTGACCCTGCACACATAGATGAAACTGATGGAAACACATTATGTGGGCAAAATGTTTTAAAAAAAATCTGATTATTTGGGCTTTTTGTTTTGTTTGTTTTTTTGTTTTTATTTTGAAAAATTGTAGTGTGGGTTTAATAATTGACCATAATTATGGTGGGTGAGAGGCGGGGTACACTCTGGACAGGTCACAGGCCTAACACACAGAGGGACTGACCGCCATTCAAACCAACTTAGAATCACCAAGTGATCTAGCCCAACTAACTGCGTGTCTTTGGACTGTGGAAGGAAGCCCAAGTACCTGGAGAGAACACATGAAGTTCATGTGGGGGGGGATTTTGTCAAATTTTGAGATTCGACTGTGTCCATACCAAATCTGACCAAATTAATGAAGACTAACACAAATCTTTATTTTATTCATTTATTTTTAACTTGTTTCAGTTAAATAATATGTTCTGTGGAACAAATATTAATGAAAGTTGTAGATCTTCAGTGTAGATCTTTTATAAACTGCTCGCAGTGAGGTTTGTGGATTTCTTGAGGAACGGATCAGTTTTGGATCAATACACATTACTGCTGCTACTTTTTTTTTGTTTTCAATTTTCAATTACTATTTTATTAATTCTAAATAACCACTGCACTGAATCGAAGGCAGGTCTTTTCTGAACAAGTTCCCCCTAAAATTGGGCAACGTGTACATACATATTTTGGTTGGATGTAGCATGAATTTGAATTTGGGGTGGACTGTTTAGGCAATATGTCTGTGAAGGTTCTCAGTCATCCAGGTCATCGTAGTCAAAGGAGCTTGCAAAGAAAGGCGTCTGTACTTCTTTAAGTTGCTTGAAGACGTTTCACCTCTCATCCGAGAAGCTTCTTCAGTTCTAAGGTCAAATGGTGGAGAGTCCCAGATATAAACCTAGTGGGAGTGACCCCCCACAGAGGGACAAAAGGACCCCCTGATGATCCTCTAATCGCCTGAGCCAAGGTGGGTGGTGGTTTATATGTGGGACTCTCCACCATTTGACCTTAGAACTGAAGAAGCTTCTCGGATGAGAGGTGAAACGTCTTCAAGCAACTTAAAGAAGTCCAGACGCCTTTCTTTGCAAGCTCCTTTGACGGTGGACTGTTTAAGCTACACACAAAGTCTGATGTATCTATTGTGAATTGCTCCAATTTCAAGGATTTAAAAAGCACAAGTGTTTCTAAAATTTCGGATGCCGGTGGCAGATTCAAGGTGATAAACGTTTCAAACGTCTTCGCTCAAAACAGGTTTAATGAAATCATGCAATCCCTTCCAAATGTACTAGTCAGACTCTCCAGCGAGGGACACCATGAATCAGAGGAAAAGCTGATAGCGATCTGCAGGATGTTTGGAAATGATCATTTAATTACCAGTCCTGAACCCGATCGCCGCTCATCTGGAGGGCCGCTGCTTGTTTTGGCAGCAGCGACCCCACCGCCACCACATGTAACCGAATCTTTTAATTTCTACCGGAGGAGCGATGGGCTCGTTGTGAATGGCTGCTGCACAACAGTGAGCTCAGCTAACTGCTTCAAGATGTGCAGGATAGCAGCCGGATGACCAATGGAACGAGATCCTCCTACGTCAGATGACCTATGACCCGAAGTGCTGCACAGTTTAATCCAGTCATTCAGTGTCTGGTGTCCATAATCTGACAAGAACAGTCCACGAATGTTTTAATGTTTTAATGTTTTGAAATTTTTATTTATAGGTCATAAAACTACAAAATGTGTTTTCCTTAAATATTTGTTAAAACACATCAGAACACGATCTTTTAAACCAACAGACATCTCGTAATGTCCAAACTCTCACACTCCCCAAGTTAAAGTGCCAAAAACTGCAGTTCCTCTAATGTCCACTTGAGGCTTTCTCCAAAAGGCCCCATAGACTTCCATATTAAAAAGTTCAACTTTACAGCAGAAACAAACATGTTTACAGCTACAAAAGAACAGTTTTGGCCTTTTTGGATAGTTTCCTCCTTCATAATGACTCTACAGGAGTGAATCTAATTAATGACTCACCCATTTTGGATTTCACACAGGCTTAAAGGAAGTGATGAAGCAGCTGTCTGCTCGTTTTTAGCTCTGTAAATCTCTTTGTTTGCTTTGTGGTGCAGTCAGTTCAAGAAGTTTGGGACAGTGTAGTTGTTTACACTCACTACTGACCCGGCAGCCAAAATTTCAAAGTCGTCTCTTTCAGGCGAACTTGAGCTCGGTGAATCCGGCCACAGGCAGCGGTGCCGGGCTCTTCTTCTTCTCAAGCTTCAGCCCCTGTGGTTTCTGGGGCTTGGCAAGGCGACTGGGGTGCAGCAGGCTGAAGAAATGGAAGCGCTCGCCCATCTTGGCGGGGTTGGTCAGCATGTTGTAGCTGCTGATAAGCTGCTTCCTGGTGGACGGGTCGCTGCAGTTCCTCAGCAGAATCTGTGGAGAACAACTGGGGGTTAAAGCCTCGGGACATACTGTGTGTGTCTGATATCCTGGTTTTCTAACTGTGGGCCACAGCGTGTCACTCAGAAACACTAAAATGTTTTTGGATCATCTTACAATCATACGATGTTTTACTTTTCTTTGTGCTCATTTTTTTTAGTTCTGTCACAAAGTAAGTTTCACTGAACTAACAGCTTCACCTGCCCAGAAATGGCGACAATATGTCTGCTGAAAGTTTTTCCCTGCACAGCATTTTTCTGCAGAGGTTGTAATATTTTTAAACTCGTGAATGAACTTTTGCATAAACCTGGTGGGAATGCACCCTAGGTCTGTGTATTCAAATTTTAACCTGAAACTAAGAAAAAGGAGCAGTGAGTCACACTCTTTGGTGTTGGATTTCCACCAAATGAGGAAATGACACTAAAAGAAATCATGCTGATTGTTTTTATTGGCATCTGTCAGTGATGAAGACTCACCTGCATCCTGGTGTCAATACCCATGTTCTTCAGGAACGTATTCTGAGTGACGGGGCCCAGACAGGCCACGCCTCCTCCCGCCATCCTCCGCAGATAGTTGAAATCCACGTCTGCGGTGAGGTCGGCAGAGCCAGGGGAGGCGAGGACGTCATGAAGCTGGTGACCTTTAAAACCCTGACCAACAGCAAAGGAGCAAAATGATGAGCAAACCTATGATGGGTTCAACGCAAAACCTTATTTACAGTGGCAGTAGCAAATTTGAGCTAAGTAGCGGCTTCTTACACAGTTTTTCCTTCAAACTACATGAGGGGATGTTTAAGAAGTACAGCATGAATAAAAGGTTTAAAACTAAACCTATTTCTAACCATCTAAAACGATTGTAACCCAGTTTAAAAAAAAAAAAAAAGCTGTGAAATCTTGGCAACCTCAGAAGAAGAATTGAGGAAGAGGAGCGACGGGCCGGTTGACCCTGGTTTCCCCCTGCCTGACGCACAGGAGCCTTTCTGCTTCCTACAGCTGCTTCCTTCCACTAGAGCTGAACAAAACATGCTCACATGAAGGTCTAAACCTCAAACTGGTCCTCACGAAGACAAAAGAATTACAAAGCACGACAGCTGGAGGACACACTGAGTGCACTGTATGTGATCAATAAAAACGACAAATTAAAGACTCAACATACATCCAACTCTGAATTGTTCCTATCAAAATGTGTGCATGAGGTCCTAAAATACTGATGGAAGTATTAGAGACTGCATTAAAGTCAACCTGTTTTTACCACTGTTGTGTAAAATAAGCAGGTCCGTTGAGCTGCTCTAAACCTTTATTCCTGAAATGATTGTTTATTAGTTGATTAACTGCATACTCATACTTACTAATTCAGTTTAAACACTAAAGCATTCAGTTTATTAACAAAAATCTTTGGTTGCAGCCTAGCAGCA